ATAGAAATGAAAATCTCTTACATAGAGACAAAAAGACACAGGTGAAGGGAGATACTGCTCTGTAAAAAGTACCATCAGATACTTCAAGGAGGGAGCAGGGGCCGGGGAGTTGGCTCGTTTGGTAAAGTTCTTGAACCACAAGCATGTGGCCCTGGATGTTTGGATCTTCAGCTCCCATGTAAAAAGCCACACGTGGCAGCATGTGCCTGTAATCTCAGCACTGGGAAGGTGGACACGGGAAACCCTGGGGCTCACTAATTGGTCAGTCTTGTTGAATCAGTGAGTTCTGGGTTCAGTGAGAGACCCTGCTTTAAAAAGAAAATAAGGTGAACCTCAATTGACAAGGACACTCAGTGCTGACCTCTAATCTCTACTGCCTACGCGCACACACACACACACACAGACGGGCACACACACAGACGGGCACACACACATACACACACATACACACACACACTCACACACACACAAACGGGCACACACTGCGCAAGGAAAGCACACGGAGTGGGAGAATGTACCCAGAAATGATACAGATCCCTCCGTCTCAACAATGAAAACATCACCGTTCCAGTTCCACCCCTGTGGCTGTGATACAATACCGACCAAACGCATCGTAGAGGGGGAAAGAGCTTATTTGGCTCATACCTCTACGTCACAACCCATCTTTGAGGGCAGTCAGGGCAGGAACCTGAAGGCAGAAACCACCGAGGAAAGCTGCCGGCTGGCTCACTCACACTTAGCTAGGGGTGGTGCTGCCCACTGTGGGCTGGGTCCTCTACATCAGTTACTGATCAGGAAACCCCTACAGGCATGCCCGAAGGCCAGTCTGGTCTAGGCAATTCCTCCAACCAGACTTTCCTTCCAGACGACTCCAGGCTGTGCCAAGCTGACAGTTAAAGCTCACCAAGGCAATAGCCTACCTAGAAAATGGCCAAGGATCAGAATAGAACTCTCTTCATGGAAGTTACATAATATCCACTGTAAGCAGGGGGTGGAGGACGGGGGACGACGGACGACGGACTCAAGATCATTAGCCATTAAGGAAATGAAAACTGGCTGACATCAGACCCAGGGGGGTGGCCACAGCCAATACCAAGTGTGGACAGGGTGTGATCATGTGGGGCGACCAGGTCTTGCTGATGGAAAAATAAACTGCACAGGGGTGCCTACGGCCTGGCAGCGAGGATGTCTAAGTGAGCCCTCTTGACAGCTGGAGCCGCAGCGCGGAGCAGCAGTTCTAGTCACCGTATCCCAGCTGGGAAACTACCCAACTTTCCGCCAGCCGATGCGAGGACGAATTACGTGTGGGATCATGATCATGCAGTGCAGTATTATTTGGCAGTGAAGAGAGTGAAGCCCTGACACAGGCTAGACACGGAAGACCTTGAAAACATTCCATGGAGGATAGAGGGCAGGCACGGCAAACCGCACCACATGATCCCACTTCTGTGAAATGTCCCAGCCAGGGACATCCGCGGAGGCAGAAAGTGGATTAGTGGTTGCCTAGGCTTGGAGGAGGAGGGAGGGACGGCAGAGGGACTGTTCACAGGACGTGGTTTTGGGAGTGGATGAAAATGCTCTAAAATTAGAGCGGGCTGATGGCTGCGAGACCCTGCAATAGGGTAAACCCAGAGAAGCTTCCACTTAAGGGGTGGACACATGGCACACCAGCCACATCGCTGAGGTTGTTAAAGCTGTGGAAAAACAGGGAGAGGGAGTGACAGAAGGGAAGGAAAACAAAGAGAGGGGAAATGTAGCAGGGGAAAGATGGGAACGGGGTGGGGAGGATGATAAAAACTGTCGTTGAGTTACTACTGTACTCCACATCTTCATCTTATCTGTAAGGACGGGGACTCTGCTGGAGATGATGACGCCATGCATCCCTAGTACCTGGCCTGTGCCTGGGTACCAACTGTCCTGCTTCCTGCTGTAGCATCTGGAGGTTGGCTGGGATGGCAGAGAGGGAACCAGGCTCAGCAGGCAGCAAGGGCCCCTCTTGCCAAAGTCATCTTTCCAGAGAATCTCAGGGCTGGAGACGAGCTGCTGGCTCTGTGGACTTGAGGGGCCTGACTATATGGCCACATGTCGCCTTGGAGCTTCCCTCAGCTAAAGTCCTCGGAGCCTGGAGCCCTAGTGATTCCCTTGCTGGCCTAGGTCTTGTCACCATGGTGACCACCTTCTGTCTCTAGGACAGGATGTAGTCAGACCAGTTTTTGTCCTCACAGAGCTCTGGCCCAAGTAGGTAGGGAGGGGACTAGGGAAGGGACTAAACTCCTCCTGTGGCTCTCAGTAGTGTTTTCTGGGAGCAAGGAGGAAGTGGGAGCCACGCAGGGGTAGAGCAGATAGTTAGGCTCCCAAAGGTGGGATGGGACACAGCTCTATCTCAAGGATGTGAGGAAGACAACCGTTTTTGTTGTTTGCTTCATTGTTTTTAGTTTTTTGAGAGTTTTTGTGTAGCCTTTGCTGCCCTGGAACCCACTCGGCAGGTCAGACTGGCCTCAAACTCACAGAGATCCACCTGCCTCTGCCTCCCACGTGGAATTAAAAGTGTGCACTCCTGGATAAGACAAACTGTATTGCCAGCCATGCTGATGGAGACAGACTTGGACCCACCTTTGTTTCTTTAGGATGGTCACCAAGAGGGCCACACCAGGTGAGACACATACTGGTACCCTCCTTTTCACCCGAGACAAAGGAAGTCTTTCCGGCTGTGACCTGAAACTAGAAGCAAGAGTGAAGTGAGTTCATCAGCAGAGACATGTGTGGGTAAAGCACGCCATTACCTGCCGGCCATGTCTGGCCCACAGTCTGAAGGCCGCATGCGGCTCAGGATAGCAGAGAATGAAGCCCAACGGATCATTGTAAACTATGATTGTTTTTAATTATAAGCTCGATAGTGAGGCTCTTGAGCATGAAGATTGTAGACGGCCAGGTTATGTGCTTACGTCAAAGGGCTGGCCCCGACCTGATTGACACTCCTGGTTCAGGTGAAGGGCTTATGTCACTGTTAGGCTGGGATTCCTGAAAAGGAAAATCTAGCAACCTAGGGGAAAACTGACAGGAGAGGTAAACAGATGAGAGCATGTCTCCCACAGATACGGAAAGGACCCTGATCTCATTACAAAGACACAAACCTGAATTTTAGCAGCCCTGCAACTCCGTGTCTCACAAGGTTTTGTTTTGTTTTGTTTTTAAAGGAGTAGCAACTTCACCTGGAGATGCTCTGAGAGGCAGGGGTCCATATGTGGCTGATGGGAATGAGAACTGTTCTTCCTGCATAGAGGGGTTCACATGGGCCTGAAGTGACCCCAAAGGGTCCCCCGGGGGCTCCCAGAGGCCTGCAGTGTCCCACAGGGCCCCACAGGGGACTTCAGGGTCCTACAGAGACTCATAGGGGCTCTTGGAGATCCACAGATGCCCACAAGGGCCTTCAGGGGCTCACAGGGAATCACAGGAGACTGCAAGGGCTCACAGGGTGTGTAGGGACTCATTAGGGCCTACAGCGGTTCACGACAGCCTACAGGGGCTCAAATGTCTGCCTCAGTCGTGTGTATAAATGACTTTGTCCCTTTGATGCCGCTTCTCTGTGTCTCTTCCAAGGACATGCTGGGAGCACACAGTGTCATCCCTATAAGCCGTTTGCTGTGGTTATTCACAGCGAGAAAATCCCCTAGGTTTCTTGTGTGGACACGCAGCGCCAGTCCAGACCACAGGGTGTGGGGTGCAGCCTCAGAGGGGTGGGGAGATCAAGGGGCCGGCCTACCTTGATGCCTCATGAACAGGCTTAGCATGGGTGGCTCCTGAGAGGCTCTGAGGTAGACTTGTTTGCGCTTCTAATGTTTTCCAGGTAATTCCCAAAGTAATTACAAAGGCTGTCCATGGACGTGGGGGTGAAGCGAGCAAGGGGGCTTGAAGTAGCTGACCTTGGCCTTCCTATGGGTAGTGTTTACCCTGGAATCACACGGATATTTTATTAAAGAAAAAAGTCAGAAGCTGGGGACAGATAGGGGTAAGGAAACCTAAGCGTTGTCACATTGGTGTGAGAAATTAAGTAGTTAAACTGTACCTTTCTCCCTGCGGCATTTTCAGCATTAAATCTTACTGAAGCAAGTCTAAGTACAAGCCGAAAGTTTCTTAAGTTGTGTATGCTAAATGAGACATCTCTATCCCACCTCCAAGGCACAGGGGTGTGGTGAAGGGAGAGGGAAGGGGGGGGATAGAGGATGAGGAGGAGCACTGTGAGATGCTGTCTTCTGGGCACGGCATGGCTGCTACAATCCAGATTCCTCGGCAGGTCAGGCTAACACACGGGACATGCATGAGATTTGGCCCCTCACTTTCCCATCATGACTGGAGAGGGACTTATGAGGCTCCACCCCTCCCTGGGGTCTATTGGCTGTTAATGGCTGCTGAAGGAAGGGGAGCTGTTTTCTCCAGTGGTGTGGCCATTGGCAAGCTGTCCTGCTCAAATAAATAACCCTAGCCCATCCATGCTTCTGTACGCAAGGCTAAATAAAGTCAGTGGGGGGCACGCACACGTGTACACACACACACACACACACACACACACACACACTGGGGAGGGGGAGGGAGGGAGGAAAGAGGGGAGAGGTGTCACATGCCTGTTATCTCAACACTCAAGAGGCAAAGGCAGAGGTTTTCTGCGTGTTCACAGGGTGCCTGGTCTACATAAGGAGTTCTGGGCCAGCCTGGTCTACATAAGGAGTCTCAGGCCCAGCTGGGGCTACATAGTGAGACCATGCTTTAAAGAAAACTGTTCCAAGGAAAAGGAGTAGCAGGAGAGACATCAGGGGACAGTGTCTTCGGTGATGGGTGACAGCCGTTCTCTGATTCTTGCTGAGGAAGCAAAGAAGGGGGCAGGCTGGCTGGAAGCTGATATGGAGATGGTGTGTGCTGGCCTGGCCTGCACACAGCAGGAGGCTCTGTGACTGTCCCTCCCTCCCTCCCTCCCTCCCTCCCTCCCTCCCTCCCTCCCTCCCTCTCTCTCTTTCTCTTTCTCTTTCTCCCTCTCCCCTTAATGGAGTCCCCAGAAGACTATGCACAGGGAAGACTTCAGAGGAACAGGGGAGAGATCTGCCTTCTGAGGCTGGGCCACTGAGGAATCCCTGAGGCACGGATCCTGCTGACCACTCCAAGCCCTGGGCCCTGATGACACAGCTGGGACTTAGCTCTGCAGTTCACTGAAGAGGCTGGGATGGGGGAGAAGGGAAGAGGGCGTCAGAAGAAGCTGGGGTCTGTTCATAGGACCTAGGGTGCTTTTCTTCCTGTTCAGCTCTGCCCAGGGCTCGTGCCCCTCCCCCACAGCTGCACACATACACCCAGGAGCAGAGGCAGCACCTGTCCAGGACTCCAAGCTGGTGAGTCTCTGGGGGCAGTTGGTGGGGTGGCACTCAGAACCACGCTCGGGGGTTGCAGATGTCACCGCAGCCTGGCCCAGGGCCATTTGGGCTGTGAGACAACAGGCGTGTCCCTACTTGGCCATCTCCTCACCCCTGCTGCAGCCTAAGCAGGGGTGACTCTGCAGCCCAGCAGGGAGAGCAGCAGCTCCTCCCAAACAGGCAGTTACTTGGGCTCAGCTCAGCACACAGGGCAGAGAGGCTGACAGGTGCCACCGCCCCGGCTTGTGTCACTGGGAACCAGCTGCCTCCTGTCAGCAGCCCGTCAAGCCCAAGGACCAGGACAAACAGTTCCGCAGAGCTGCTGCTCCCTGACCTGCCCCCAGCAGGCCTCTTCCAGGGCCAGCTCGTGCTTCTTTCTGTCCAGTTGCCTTCAGGGTCTGGCATGAACAGGTCCTGCCGGAGGAGGAGGAGGGGGGCATGAGAGGGCAAGGAGCCTAGAGAGGTGTTCTCAGGCTGCTGGTGGAGGAGCACGGGGAGGCTTCTTGGAGGAGGAGGCAGGGGAGCTGGTGGGCTGAGAAGGTATGGATGGATGCACTAGGGAAGCAGGGGGCGGGAATCTCGGGTTTATGAGGGCAACTCTGGGGTAGAACCTTCTTGGAGGTCAGCAGGACTTAGATGGGTGCAATTTGTGAAGGTGGGTGTCCTGGGGGGTTCTGGGCTGGGAGCACCCCAGTGGAGCTGACTCAGGGCCAGCTGAGGTCCCCATTCAAACCAGGAGACAGAAGGCCCAGAGGCAAGAAGGAAACTGAGGCATCTAGCCGCCCCACAGCACCACACATTGCTGATTTCTGCCCCACCCAGGTTCCCCCTCTGCCATTGGTCTGCACAGCAAGTGGCAGCAGTATTGACAGGAGGACCATGGCTCCACCCCACGAGGCCGTGGCTTCTTCCTACCAATGAAGCAGTAGGAACACGGAGCGTCTCCATGGAGAAAGCAAAGTCTTCATATTGCTTTCACTCTTGTGGGGCGTGTTTCCTTCATGGCACGGTGTTTCTAAGTTTTACAGCTGCTGTGGGCTGTCGTGGAAGGAAACTTAAGTTAACACTGGTTCTAGGGTAGGGGACACCCGAGGGACAGAGGAGGTGGCACAAGGAGGAGCTGAGACCAGCCTGTGGCCTCTGTACCACCAGGGGCCACAATCACACCAGGACTTCCAGGCTAGCGGCAACGGCAGCTATCAGCAGGGGCTGTTTTCAGCTGTGTTCAGAGGTAACCCCGTCTAGGCGTCCCATCCAAACACCATGACCTTGTCAGAAATCCTCGCAAGGAAAGATCTCCAAGCCAAGGAGGTACCTGGTCCTCACCCCTCTCCCCTCAGCTGCCCTCCCAGTGCTGGCCCTAAGAACCAGCCCTATCCCTCTGGATGTTGCCAGGGCCTGCGTCTGAGCTCCGTCTGGACACAGAGCCTACAACCTGGGACTTCAGAGGGCTGGGGTGTGAGGGAGGGGCTTTGCGAAGCCAAGCAGGTACAGACAAAATGATGCTGGTTGGGTTGCTCCTCTGTGTAGCGCCCATGGCCTGAGAGTTCTCCTGAGAGCTCCCCTGTCTGTCCTTTGGTCTCATCCTGTGCAATGGACGTCAGAGACCCGCAGGTGAATTCACTGCCCAAAGAGCCTCAGAACTTTAAAATGCCACCCTGGAAGAGCAATAGTGCCACCCACCTTTTAGGAACCCCGAGGGACACTCAGAGAGCCCCATGCATGAGGGAACTCCAAAACATTCTGCCCAGGGCTGGCATCCATTGTGGGTTTTTGCTGGCTGCAGGATTCCACACATATTTCCTGGGGCCTCGATGGGCATGTTAAAGCAACAAGTTGGGGCACACAGAGGTCAATCAGGGCACGACCCAGAGAGGTTGGGGTCCTGTGCAGTCACATACCATACCACACTCACTCCCAGCATCCAGCCCTGAGAGCTCAGTGTCCAAGGTCACCAAAGCGGTTTCAAGTAGAGGGAACGGTTTGGGGCCCGGAGCCACTCACTGCCTGCTGTAGATTTGCAGAAGTTACCTGCACCCTTGTTTACCAGGGCTGCTTCGTAACTCTCAGATCAGGGAGCTGTGCAGCTTGAATATATGCATGTTGGTGTGCAATGTTCTGGGGGTCAGTCCCAGCTTAGTTGCTTCTGAGGTTAGCCGCCTTGGCTAGGTCATCAAACTTCTCTGGGGTGTAGCTTCTTCTCAGGTAAACTGAGGCAGCCATACTGCATCCAGCATCCGGGTGAGCCGAGGACTGGGGGAGCTCATTCACAGAGCACCTCACGCACATATGGAGACTGCCTATAGAGGACACATGATCTACCCCAGCAAGTCTGGGGACCGTGGTGCGGCCGGGACAGGCACCACTTGAGTCTTACATCCAAAGTCTCACTAGGCAGGTGTCACAGGCAGATGTGACCAGAGAGAGAACTTAGCCTGAGCTCCTAGGGCTCCCGAGGACCTGGGCATTGTGAGCCATCTAGCTGTTATTGCTAAGAAGCATTCCTCATGGCACACTATTCCTCCTCAGGCCAGCACCCGGCCTTCAGTGCCTCACCATCATCAATATAAATGGTGTTGCGATGGTGGAGGGACCTCCCAGGTTCTCCAAGAAAGAACTTGTCAGAACCATGTGTGGGGCATGAGGTTCCTGCACAAGGGAGCCAGAGCACTTTACATTCCTCCGGTGGGCTTATGCTGATGATGGTTGGCTAAATCCTGAGACCTCCATCCCCAAGCCAGGAAGGAAGTCCCGTCTTGCCCAGCCTGACTGTAGATCTGGGGTCCCAATCAGTCCAGCTCAGTTGGGAGTACATCTCCTTAGCAAGTTAACTCTGGAAGTTCGGGTGGGGGTGGGGTGCTGTAAACAGGGATTCAGAGACTGAGGGACACGGAGTGTGTCTGAGCCATCCTCCAGGGTCTTTCTTGAGCTTCAGTGCCGCCTAGTGGTGGGAGGCCATCATTTGCCATCAGCTGCTGCGTGTGTTTCAGCATTTGTCATGCCAGCCCACCAGGTCTTGGGAAATGCGTGCTGCTAAGGAGCCCCTCACCTGAGAAAGGATTGAGAATCTGGGCCTGGAATCAGAAACCAAGGGACGTGGGCAAGGGGAGTGCGTGGACACCCTAGAGAAGACAGGTCTCCTAGACTACTGTGGTACATCCCGAGACAGAGCAGGCCCAGGACGCTCTGTATCGGCCCCCTTCTCTTCAGGGTGACTTGAAATTATTCTCTGTATCGGCCCCCTTATCTTCAGGGTGACTTGAAATTATTCTTTGTGGGCATTGTGCCAAGTTCAGCCCAGCAACAGGGTTGTTTGGGAAGAGGTGTGTGTCGGGACATGTGGCGTGTCACACTGTATACACAGGCCGGGGCTTGCTCCGCCAGCCCTGTGTGACTCTCCTTGGAAACCAGAAGCCCCAGGCACGAGCACCTGGAGGGACATCTGGGACAGGCCACCGGTTGGTGGGAAGGCTGGCTGTGTCTCTTCGGGGAGTGAAGGCCAGCTAACAGACGAGAAAGGGCTCTGACCAGGCCTGATACCAGAGGTTCTTGCCTGGTGTTGAACTCTCTCACCCATGTTCTTATCCCGTGGCACTTCTCCGATGTGAAAATCCCTGTGTACATTGTAGAGACTTAAACGCTGGGTGAGCATCAGGACAAGAGGCCTCTCAGAGCGCCCCTGGCTCCTGGGCATCTCTGTGTCCAGTGTGCTGCTTCTCAGGGTTAGTGTCCATGAGCAGAGAGAGGAGCGGGTCTGCTTCCATTTGCTGCAAGTGATGTGTTCCTTGTTTAATTCTGGGTGGCCATTGTTTTCCCCATGAGTTTCTCTCTGTAAACATCCGGGATGGAGAGGTATGAGCACCTGAGAACTAAGTTAATTTGATAGACATTGTGGCAGTTTGAATAAGAGTGGCCCCGTAGGTTCTTATACTTGAACACTTAGTCACCAAGGAGTGGAACTCTTTGATAAGATTAGAAGGATTGGGGGTGTGGCCTTGTGGGAGGAAGTGTGTCCCTGGGTATAGGCTTTGAGGTTTCAAAAAGCCCAAATCTTTTGGCCTGTGGATGAGGATGTAGCTCTCAGCTTCTGCTCCTTGAGTACTGTCATGCCCCTGCCATGATGATCATGGACTCAGCCTCTGAAACTGTAAGTCAGCCCCCAGTTAAATGCCTTCCTGTATAAGAGTTGCCTTAGTCTCTAAGACAAGCAGATACAGGGAGGTTTGATGCTCATCACCATTTCTTTAGGGTAGAGTCCTACGGGTTTCAGCACTATCCTCTCTTGGCTTTGTGGTCTTAAGGTCTCACACTGTAGCCCAGGCTGGCCTTGAACTCACCATGTAGCTCAGGCTGGTCTTGAACTTGTGGCAGTCTCCTTTTTTCAGTCTCTGGCAAGAGTGCTGGTACTGTAGGCATAAGTCACTATGTCCAGCTGTTTACATGGCTCCCAGGAAGTGCTCATTTCTTAACGGTCCTTTTTGTCACACTGGGCCTTTTGTTTGTGAAGTAGCCAGCTAAACTATCATTTTTATTGGATCCTTTCTAATTCTTCCAGATTAACAAGTTATATTACTCTGTATTACTCTGTTGATTCTTAAATCTATTTAGTGTGTGTGTGTGTGTGTACACCTGTGTGCACATGTGTGTGTAAGCCAGAGGGTGACATCAGATCAGTCTCTACTTTACTTGTTGAGGCAAATTCATCCCTCTATCTGGAGCTCACCCATTTGGGCTAGTCTCTCTAGCCAGCTTGCCCCTGGGATCCTGTGCTTCCTCGGAGTGCTGGAATTACCCTGGCTTTTAGTAGGTGCTGGGAGTTTGAACTCTGTTCCTCACCCTCATGTAGCAAGTCTTTATCCACAACATCATCTCTGCAACTCCTCATTTAGCAGCTCTATTCATCATTTTATTCTGTTTTATTATTTTTTTAGTTCCATGGGCATGTATCACAGAGGATCGATACACCTTTCCCCCTTGTT